ATGGCGATCCAGGCCGGCAGCGCCACCAGAGCCGGACCAGCGTGTAGTGACGACATGCTCGAAGGCGTCAGTCACGTCGTATCGGACTCCGAAGCAATCCTCGAGGAACGCTTGGAAATCCACGAAGGTCGGAGTCCGACCCTCACGAAGGGAGTAGGCATAAAAATCCTCCCAGGCCTCGAAAGGACCGCCACGCAGGCGCGTTGAGAGGTGACCCACCCACGTCTCGGGTGTGGCGCCCATGAGCTGGAGTGTGCGGGTGGCCGACTGCAGCCACCGAGACACGCGTATGCCTGTACCGTCATACAAGGCAATGTCCGAVAAGCGGATGAGTGGTGCGCCACCGTAGTGGCGGCGAGGGGATCGAGGAGCGGGGGCCTGTGCCACGGCCGAGTAAGTCGGCGCAGGTCCTGGAGAAAGGGGCGCAGCTGACTGTGCGCCCGGGCCGCATAAGGGGGCGGCGGTGGCAACAGCGGCAGGCTGCGAGGGTGCTGCGGTAGAAGAGGTCGCAGCAACTGCGGGAGTAGGAAGGAGGTAGGAAGGACTTGTATAGGGTGCAGGGCGTGGAAAGCGAGCCTGCATGGGAGGAAGGGTAGAGGAGGTAGGGGGTGCGTCCGAAGACACGGCCACCTGTGAGGGTGGGGGTGGTTGAAGGCGTAAGAGGGCGAGGTTGGCCCGGAGCTGGGCAATCTCGTCCTCGAGACCTCGAACGTAGGTCGTGCGAGGGGTAGCAGGAGGAAGAGTGGAGGAAGTAGATGCACAAGCGGCGCGGGGCATCCCAGAGGGGGGAGAGCCAGGTGGCGCAGCGGTCGTGCGAAGGGGGGGAAGGAGCGGGGCACCCGGAAACGCTGAGACCATGGTAACGGGTTGTGGTCCCGTGGCCGTTGTAACCGGAATTTGGGCCGGTGCGCCCGTAGACTGAGGAAGGGCCTGACTCGTGGCGGTCGTCGAGCTAGTGGCGTGGACGGTCACCAAAATGGCCGGGTCGGGGGCGGCAGAGGAGGAAACTCCGCCGTGGCCACCCTTTCGGAGGGCTGGGGACCCGGACTGAGAGTCGGGAGAAGAGAAAGGGTGAGGAGAGGTAGGACGACCAGCGTCCTGGAGTTGCTGCACGCCGACGGCAAGGGTCGCCACCTGCGCCTGTAGGGGCCCGAGGGTCGCGAGTTGCGCCTGGATGGGCGCGAGGAGGGAGGTGAAGAGGTTGTGTAGATCCCCCTGGGGCTGATGGCCCTGGTCCGCCGGCACGGGTGTGGAGCCCGATGCCGTGGTCATCGCCGTGTCGACGGCGTGTGACGCACCGTCGGCCATGGGGAGGTGACGGACCGGACTGGAGGGGGCCAGAAGAGGTCCGCGCGAGCGGAGGGTGTAGGGGGAAGTCCGCGGTAGAAAGCGGCGAACGGCGCTAGCAAGGCTAGCACGGGCGCCGTCAAAGGGGGAGGGGTGGTTCCGGTCCAGGGTGCCCGAAGAGGACGGGGAAGT